TAACGTTTTAACGACCAATTCTTTTTCGTTATTTGAAAAAACGTTATCTCTATATGTCTGTGTAAAGATGCGCATACAGATGGGTGGCCAGGTAGCCATTGTTAAACTTTCTGCACGTAATCATGCCAAAATTACAAAAACGTTAAACTTTTTGGCCGTTAGACTTTCCGGTTTTACAGTACTCGGGCTCTCAGTGCCAACTATTACTTTCACCCCTACATGTACACCTGATACTTGTCCGTATAGGGGCAATGCCGGCTTCAGACATGCCCTGCACGGCTGACGCTATCTTCGATTATAAATTCTGCAAAATGCACGTACACTCGCCGGTGCATCTTCGCTAAGCCTGAGGAACTCGCCCGGCGATGTTCAAAAGTAGTAGGCTTCCCGCTCGACTCCGTCCCTTCTGGACACCCGTCACAGTAGTCGTGGTCGACATCACGGTCTTGAACATGCATGCATGGACCTCTACTGGCTCTAGCTCTGTACTTCAAGCTTGTTTTTTCCTCCGGGACCCGGCTTGACTGCACTCTGCAGTGCAGTAGTGACTAGTGTTGATCTTGGCAGTGCCATTTCTGATCCCCCAAGTATTAGTTTCTGGCACTTTTTGCAGCCCTCAGTGACCAGATGAGAAATCGATCTCTTCTTGATCTCCGGGCATACCTCCGTGCCGGGAGCACCTATGGCCTAGTGCTTGTTGCGCTTTCACGGTTTTGACCAGTGGCACCCGGTTGGCATCGCGGCTACACGCTCGGGTGGAACCGGAGATGGTCTGTACTTGTATCTTGATTCGCAGTGACATCGGCTGACGAGGCTACGAGAGAGAGAGGGTCGTGTGTTGATTTGTGGATTATCTGTGATGTAGTGTGGATCGTGTGTGCGGTAGCATCACGGATCACTCCAAGCACTTCCTCCGCAGTTGCCTCTCTATGGTACTGGCGAGATTGTGCCTCGAATACACTGCAGACGCTGTGGTTGCAGCGGCTACCGTATTAGCCTCTCGCGGTTTGCAATTGTCGTCCAGTACATCGCTGCCTGGGAATTTCCCAGTGACGGAAATCCCGGTGTTCTCAGTCTTCTGGCCGGACAAACTGATGGTTTTCCAGATCTGCAGAAGACTGACGTGGCGATGACCACCTTCATGATTCACAACCTGCACGTGACCTGCCGTTCCTGAGGGCTCTGACAAGGCAAGCGGCCACTGGGGACACTGAGGATAAAATCGACTTGGCTGCAAAGTTGAGCGGGGCATCGGATCTCCCTGACGCTTGAAGTAGTTGAACATAGGAATCTTGTCCACGTCGCTATGTATATGCGGCGTGCCGGACACAGGATGTTGAAATTACTATCACTGTACAGTACTATCTCTATAGCTTCCTGTCCCGCTCGCATTCGCCAGTAGTCAGTACAGTAGGAACGATTCACCACCATTATTGCGTCTGCCCTTGAACCAACTAACTAAGCTACTTCCCAAACTGGCAAATCAAGTGCCCTTGGCCCAATGGTGCCCTTTACTTGGCTTTCGAATTGTCATCACAGGCGAACTACGCGTTCGCCGGCAAGAAAGCATCGAACAAGGTTGAGGACTCATAGGTTTGTCGGAGCTCGGGGGTTCCTGGATGCCGTTATCCGAATACGCCGTGAAGAACGCTAGCGGGGACTTACTTGAAGAACGGGACGAGAAGAAGGGCATATCCAATTCTGTCAGTTACAGTCTTCCAACATCACAAGAAAGGCCGCAAAGTCAGCCCACAGTACTAGTAACGCCAGCTCCGCCAAACCTGTTGCTAGCCGCAGTCACGGCAGTGAGGAGTTGGTAACGCAGCCGGTAGCGGAAAGTCCCAGCAACGCTGCTCCAGAATTTTAGTTTCCTGACTCATCGACAGTTAGAACTGAAAGCGAACGAGCAAGTACCATGAGTACAGGTAAGGAGTAGTGCGGACATAATCATTTTTATGCACCAGGTCCAGAGGATATCTACGTACCGTACTTCCGCACATATAAGCGCATGTGCTTATGTCCGGACATAAGCGCACCCCCAATTATAAGCGCATGGGCTAATATGTGAACACTATTGGTGTAACACCCGGGAGCTGAATATACTGCTAAGCATTGTGATAACACCGTTGTTTAGGACACAGACAAACCGTTATTGCACATATAAGCGCATGGGCTTCTACCCGAACATGTTCACAAAGCAAAAAAAAATTTTGTAGCAAATTTTCACTTATAAGCCCATGGGCTTATAAGTGAGCCCATGGGCTTATAAGTGGGGAAGTACGGTAGGATTGTTCCGGTTCCTTTTCGCTTATTTCTTTCAGCTGGACCGATGCTGGTAGTTATCACTCTTAGTAGTAGTATTGACTCCCATTGATTTTCGCTATACCTAAGCAGTCAAATATTCCTGCATATTTCACTCCTTAGGGCTATATTGACTGCTTATATTTGACTGCTTAGGGGTTGCGCAGTTGAACGGTGCCTAGTGCAGCATTGTCACTGCATGAGTAGGTGGTGGTGCAACGGTTGTGCAATCATAAAACCGGGATTCATGAGGTTATCGTTCTGGAATTTGAAATACGGACTGTTTGTCGTGATAAATCTAATATTGACTTCGTACTTGGTCAGTATAGGAAATAAAAACCTCGTAAAAGACCTCGGCTTCGCCTCGGTCTTTTACTCGGCTTTTATTTCCTATATTGACCTCGTACTCACTGTAACTCAGTCAATATTAGTATAAGTTACATACAGCGGGCCTGTTGTACGGCCAATCGCCGTTGGTCTGGTGAGGTTTTCCGGCACTGATGCAGTCGGGAAGGCAATCCTGACGGCGATACAAAGGGATTCAGTGACGGCAACGGCGTCGACTCAGCTGTGCGGTGGTATACCATCGGCATGCAGCGAAGTGGCCGAAAGTTGTTGGCAATATACCTCATAGACCCTACTAACGCGCCGTGAACCGGGCGGCTGGCTGTGCTGCATAACATTCCACGTCAGGCACATGTGTGTCGCAATGAACACCTACCAAGCAGATATCCCAGTGCCTGAACCGTGGCGAGACAGTGTACTTGAGAGAAGGCACATGCCAAGGAGATCCGCTGGCCATGGCTTTTTTGCCTTTAGCTACGGTTCCTCTAGCCGAACATCTGGCCACACCATGCAGCAGTTCCATGCCAGGATGGTAACTTATGATGATGGTGATGTCGCTGTGTACCGCATTGTGGCACTCCGGACTACTGGAATCACAGCGGAGGGCCTTAAGCATGACTGAGGCAACAGGCCCAGTGGTAGGAAGACAGTGCTCCTTGTTAAAAGACTCATCTGGCTTCAGACATGGAGCGGGGTATTCTCTGGCACTAACGTATACGGATTTGCCGACTGATGTCGTGTTTGTACGAAGCCGGGTGCATGACTGGTGTGCTTTGATCAACACGCTGGCGAGTCACGGTTGCAGAGACCCATCCCGATGCGGCTTACCACGTGTGTAAGTTATCTCAGCAATTCAATCCGGATGGTCTTTTTTGCCACATCCAGCTATAAGCTAAGCAGCATCTGTACAAAACACAGTACCGTGACGGAGCTACATGTATTCGCCAAGTAGACGTTCAGGGTGGGGCTCGACGGAGACATCGGTAGCCACATGCTTCAGTCACGAAGCCAGCCAGACATGATGGCATTCCAGATTTCATTTCGGCAGATCGTAATGCTGGGATAACCTAGCTCCTCTCAGGATACTCTATCCATGTGCGATGATTTTCTCTGGCACATTAACCGAAGCTGCTTACATGCATCAGTGCATGCATGCGGACCGCTGGAACTTGGCTACTTGTTACTTCACCCTGTATATTAAAAATCGCATCGCAATCCTGTGTGAATTGGTTAACTAGTAGTCCAATTATAGGGTGCCCGTGGCTCTATGGGGTCTGCCCCAGAGAAATGTGAAAACAATTTTAATCAGACCATCCTGCCTCTGCTACGTACCATGACTGTATGTAGACTTGGTTGCAGAGATTGAGTGATACTCTGGGGAAAACAACTCCCTGGAGGACAGACAATACATACATGTATGTCATTGTATATATCGCACCTCGTTTATCCGGGCGGTCTGGGACCGGGCACTGCCCGTAACTCCGAATCACATGCATTGCCGTATTCAATTATGCACTTTGATGGGGAAAGGCCATCGATATTGCATATGACGTCACTATTTCCACAAAAAGTGAAAAAAGAGTAATATTTTTCCACCCGTTGTGCCCATACCAAGAGTTATGAACTCTTGCCTATACATGTACCTACTTAGCAGGGAGTCACAAAATACCGGTATTTTACGACTCCTTGCTACTTAGGGGTCCGGATGACCGAGAGGTACGAGTGTAGTACTAGTAAGGACGTGGTAGTCGAGTCGCATGGGCTCGCCGGGCGACCGCCTAAACTAGGCTAAAGCCACCATGGACATGTTTGCATATCAGGGAGTCGTAAAATACCTTTACGACTGCCTGGATTGCATTTGCTCGGCCTGCATACCGCAATCAAAATTGGGTTGGGTACAGTTCCCTGCAGAGGTTACCGGTATGCGATTACATCATCAGTCGTTGTCGTGGCACAGTGATGCATTAGCAGCTCACCCTGTACCATTGGACGCCCATCGCCGGAGGCGATGATAGCGATGCTACAACAGAAGCCATACTACCATAGCAGCTTGTGCTGGGATTGCACCATTCAACAGCTTGCAAGGCTGAAGAATTGACCGCCACTATTCAGCCTGGTCTACACCACACAGCTTTTTCTGGCCAGTGAATCCCTACTTTTTGGTCTTTTTCATTTATTTTGTACACACCACGCACATCAGCGGTTCTGCTGACTCACCATCATGACATTATTCCAAGCACCCAGCACAAGCAGCGCACCAATGCCTCGGGCCATGTCGGCACTCATCCAGATCACAAGCATGCAGTCACACCACACACACACACACACACACACACACGCACATACAGTACATGTAATGAAAGTCAGTCACTGCATTGCCATCACGCCCTATGCAGAAGTGGCATGCAGCATTGCTGTCAAAAGAAGGCCAGTAAAAACTATATAGGGTCTAATCAACAAAATACACTGGGGATCATTTGGTATTTAAAATCAATACATTGTAAATATAGGAGCTGTATCGGCAGAACAAAATGGCTACAGAAGCGATTGTGACGTGTGATTACAAACTACCAAAAAAAGAGCAGCACACTTGGAGCAAAAGTTAAGACAGCGAAGAAAAGAAGAGTGGAAAGTACTCGACACAGCTCACCGACCTTTCGGTGAAGATGTAAGAAGCAGGAGCAATCAGAGGAAAAACAACCACTCTAAACATAATAATTATACTCACGGAAACGAGGCGAAGAGGACAGGTTGCCAGCAACAACAAAACGCTCAACGGAACACAGGCAGCCACTACCAGCCAAACATGAAACTGTTAAAAAAAAGAGGAGACCAAGCAGCCTACTGACGAAGCATGAGAGCGGACGATTCAAGAACTAAAGTAAAGATGTGAACCAGAGGTCACAGTACAATAGTGCGCCATAGCTGGAGAGGGCGCACACAATTCTGGACAGTGGAGTATAACAAAGGGAGGTGCAGATGAGTTCCGAAAAGAAGATTTCCGATGGAGAGTTGAAAAGGTGTTAGATGCTGATATTGCATATTGGGCAGAGAAAGGGAACAATAACTTTAAAAATCCTGATGTCATAGTCAAACAGGAAAGGATGCTGATGTGTGAGCTGATCTGTTCGAGCCATCACAACACAGGCAGGAGATGCTTTTTTTATCGTGAAAACGGCACCAAAATAGCACTCCATGCCCTTAGAGGTCACAGCACAGCAGTGAGCATAAAACCCCAGTGCACATTATAAACAGGTGCATGGGATAATCAAGGCGGACAAACCTAATTCAAAGAATACATACCTGTACAGAAACCGGAGGAAGAATCATAAAAAGTCAATAGATAGTTGACGCAGGGGTGCATCTCGATGAGTGAGGCGTTGGGACGTTGCCACGTAAGGCATCGCTACTTCCAGATACTCCCAAACATGATATGGGGTAGTGCTTGAGATTCGGTGGCTGCATCAGCTCATTATCTCCTTCATTCGCATGCGAGCTCCATACAGCGGTGGTAGAGTGACACCGGTATTACATTGGCCCGCAGTAGTTTGCCGGGAAAAGGCCTTCTTTGTCGGCTAGACGGCCGCGGCACCAGCCCTGTTCGTCCTCGTCCTCAACCTTGGTCAGAATGTCACCAGCCTTGAACGACAACTCATCGTCATCCTGCGCATCGTAGTCGAACAGTGCTCGCACGGGCACACCGCCATCTGCCAAACACAGTATCAGATACAAACACACACACACACACACACACGCACACACACACGTACACACACACGTACACACACACAGAGGAAAATGGAAGAGTTGGCAGGACATACAGCAAAGAAGGCATACAATTCCTTACAGACGAAAAGAAACAAGGCTTTGCAGTGGTGAGGGTGAGGCTGCTTGCAGTTTCATTTAGAAGAAAGGCATTCGAGCTGACTTTGCAGTGGGTAATCGCTAATATCAGCACACCGGTGAAACCTGGCATACCGTGATCTCTGAAAACCAAATGACCCCCACAAAGTCCATATTTGATGCCAAAGAAAGTGGGTGGACAGCCCTAGTGGCATTGCTGAAAGTAGGCTTCACCCGTAGATGAAAATTGGAAGGACAGACCAAGTAATAATAATAACTTTATTAGGATGACCCAAAGGCCTATCGTGGGGTCAGTCGCAAGTGACGCCGCTGAAAGCAGGTCTCACCCGTAGATGGCTACATGTAAGGAACATGGACTGGGCCAAATTATAGCTCATGTGCCAGGGTGCAAGAGCCGAGGAAGGCAGTCTACATGTGCTTGAGACGACCACAGTGGAACATCAGGTAAAAGTACTCTGGAAATAAATACTACGCCAGTCATTTTACCTTGGGTACAAGGGAGCGTCGACCGGGAGTTTGACCAAGCTGCACTTGCACTGTTGTGGACATTGAAACCCGTTGAGAAGTCAAGTGGTTACGGAGCGCTGGCCACACAGACGGGAGCACTGCTGGTTCATTTTGCAGTGTGTACATGACGCGCAAAGGCAGCCAGGACGCCGGCCCCAGTCATTCCACCGGATTTCAAGGTCCACAACAGTGCCCGCATTTGAACATCTTCCGGGGGTTGTATACGATGGAAAAGGACAGGCACCCGAAACGGAGACGCAATATTGGTAACTATATGAAATCAATGCTCCATTAATGACATGGGACATGTGCAGGATGCCCATGCCAGGCCGATTGCCACTAGATAGGAATGTGAAGGCACCCAACAGGTGCACACGATGTGCAGTGGGGGCTAAGTAGATGCTAGTAGCACACGGCGTGCGCTCCTGGCTGTTCGCACGGCGTGCAAACAGCAGCCACATGTACCGATTACAGGACTGTGGGCACTGGCAACGCCAGGTGGTCTATGTCTAGCACTGGGGTGTGATGATGGATGCACAGGTAATCGTGCAAAAACACAATGTCTAGAGATCAAGTCTCTGGCCTTGTGAGAGTCCTACGACCCCCAAAGCTCCGGATGTGACCGTTTATAGAAGGCTTTGCAGTGCAGTAAAAAAAGGCAAAGTAAAATAAAAAAATTAAAAGATCAACCACCAACCACACCTACATATTAACCCTTTGGAGCCCCAAAATCCTGATAATTGTATGCGACTGCAATTACGATATATTCTTTACCTTATTTTGGTCATAACTAAGGTGCTTGTTATTGGATTTCCATAATCTTGGGCTTCCTGGAAAACGCTCCGCGAGCAGAGTAAGTAGAGCTCAAATTCGACACCACAGCAGTCACATATCCAACGCCACGGCGCCTCGAACAGTCCGCAGAGCTGGATATACGAGCAAATGTCCTCAACGCCTGCTGTTTCACTCTTATTCATCGTGGAATGCTCAATTTTTCGCGCTGAGTATAGTTTTATACTGGCCACGTGCAGGAAGCGTACCTGGATGAATCAGCATGTCATCCAAGGGGAAATCCCTCACTCAAGGCCAGTCACTGAGAAAAAAGTTCGACTTTTGCCGCGACTGAAATGTCGAGCGCGATATCTCTGCAACGCGGCATCGTAGCTCTTCGGCGATTGTTGCATTAGAAAGCTGAGCTCTTTGGCTTCTTCCAAGATATTTCGATCGTAGAAATCCGTCAAGTTTCGAGTGAGTTACGAACGTTTTAGTCCATCGACGGTATACCGTCGATTTTTGACTGTAAGGGCTCCAATGGGTTAAACCATGCATAGCAGAATACACATACACACCTGGAGCTGTGGGAGGATCACAGTTGTCAAACTCGGAGGCGGCATCGTCGCCCCCTGAGCCTTGGTGCGATACTGGCGCAGATGCTATAGACGCATGATTGCTGGAGGAGGGCTGCACTGCCGCTGAGTCATACCGCCGAGTCCTGCAACAAAGGACACAACGCACAATACCAACACCACAGGTAAGCAGCAGGCTACTTTGTTGCGCCGGAGCTCTGGTAAGCTTGGGCAAAGCAAAATAAAATATCAGACAGCCACCAAACTAAAAAGAGCAATGAACGTGCAAGTGACAGAGAGAGAGAGAGAGAGAGAGAACATCAAGGGCATGCACGTTCTGCCCCCCCCCCCCCCCTATATATCTGCCAGGATACTGCCACACACAACAGGGAAGCCAGGCACGTTATCTCGAAAATAGATAAACTTACGCAACTTGAGACTTGGCCATCTCGTCAACCTCTTTAAATTCCTGAAGCAGGTCAAAAAGAACGGAAGAGTTTATAAGTATATAAGGCCATCGTTTTTTATATGTGTTTCGCGTCGTCCGCACGCATACGTTTTGATTTTTTTCTGAGAAAAATAAAAAATTGAACATGCACAGACTGAGTGTACGATCGTGGGAGTCATCAGTGCGGACTGGTTGCATGCGCGCGGCAAAGCTGGGATTCAGAAATGGCCTCTAGGCCAGCGTTGGTAAATCGTTTGTTCCGCATCTGCGAGCAGTATTCTATGAACTTACACCAGACCGCATCGATCGCCTCAAGCTGAGAGGATGCGTCGTTCCGGAGCTCTTTGCACCGCTACTGAAGTCGGAGTACAATAATAATCCAGCGAAGCATTGGTACTGTACACCTCTGATATTAAAGCCTTTGTTATTATTTTGCAACTTTTTTATTTTTTTCCACCTCTCGCATATGATTCTGGAAGTTGAACTGACGCGAAACATAGATATTAAAAATGACGGCCTAATACAACCCAACAGTACGCTTGTACGTGAAATATAAACCGACATACAAACCGAGGCGAAGCCGAGGTTTGTAGGATGGCTTATATTTCACGTACAAGCGTACTAGTGGGATGTATTATACTTATGCTGACCTTCATACAAACTGACAGTCAACTTCTTCCTGTTTCTATGGTGACGGTCTATATGGGGTTTGTATGAGGTTTATGCCCAGTATAAGCCGCCAGCATGATGGGCAAGTTCACTGGAAGTTTGTATGAAAGGTCAGCATAAGTTGAGAGTAGAAGCACGGCCCCAGAGTACATAACCCCTAAGAGTGTGCAACTCCAGCTGTGGGGTCTGCGACGGCAGAACTTCACATCACGTGACGAGCCCGTACACATTATTTGCACCCTGTGCATGATAGCAAGAGTCCATAAACAAGAGTATGCAACTGTGATCTCTTTTGAAGTCTTTTCTATGGGCCAGATGCGTGGCGCGCTGCCTTCATTACATCATTCAGCTGCAGTCCGTGCACTGCGGAAAATCATGCACCGCACTTTCCCTCTGGTTTGAAATGAACTTTCGTATGGAACTGGGGTTCAAGCGCCAAAATTTAGAGATCTCGTAGGTACTGGAACGAATCGAGCAAAAACGGATGGGCTCGTATGAGAAATTGGGTTTGACAGCATGCTTTCAGAGAGTGAATACTGATGGAAGCAAGTTACGTAATGAAGGCAACGCACCACGCACTGACCCATAACCACAGTTGCATACTCTTGTTTACGCACTCTTGATGATACGCCTAGCCCAAATTTGCTGGAGGTACTTTGATATTTTGCAGCAAAAATTTGCCCGAGAACTCATTTTGCTTGCCATTGCCTTTCTTTTCCGATATTTTGCTTCATTTTGCTCCTGCTTTGTGGCAAAAATGGCTTCGAATGAACCGTCAACTTTGGTGGAAATGGATGGAGACTCTGATGAGGAAAGCGAAACTGCAAGTGGTGTCAGTATCAAGGACTTTGTAGCCTGATTTCAAATTGATGTACCCCTGACAACAAGTACAAGCTATTTCGGGACGAAATTGGGCCAACGAAACCAAAGAAATCAGACTACAATTGCCAAAACACACCCTGTTCCTCTAAAAATTCGATATTTTGTTCGGAATTTGCAAATTGGCATGATAGCTCTCTTTTGCTCACTTTGCACTGTTTTCCAGCGCAGCGTAACCTTGTGAACCGTGTCACGTGATGTGAAGTTCTGCAGTCGCAGGGCTCTACATGTATAGAAGCAGCGCAGGCAGTTGCACACTCTTGGGGATTACGTAGTCTTGACGGCACCAAGAAAACAAATCGTGCTTTCTTGGAATCAGTTGCGACAGACTCGGAGAGCACTGAAAAATGATACCGGCCCCACACAGAGCAGGACCAGTGGCATAAAAAATCTTCGCGGCCTTGTAGTACGTCCGACTTTGTACAAGGATACAAATTACTTGTAACGAGGACAAAGATTGAGGGACATTGGCAGAGAGCCATGATGTCCTGTCCCCATGCCACAGACACGCCCACAAGCACAATGCCGCGTGTAATTAGAAAGCATTACCTCGAAGATCGGCCACTGCATACCCATGTCAGAGCCACTTTGCCGAGAGTAGAAGGAAAGATCGTCCTCAACCGACAGTGCTTCCGTCGCATTCGAATAGTCGGAGAAGATCTGGGGTACTCTACACAAACCACAGCAGAAGAACACAAATCGAGCATGCCATGATGATGCCTTACAAAATAACGAAGAGCAAAACAACAAGCGCATAACATAGGAAACAGACGCCTAGCAGAGAGGATTGAAATGAATGCTGATGACAATGGTAAAGGTCCAAGGACACCCCCCCCCCCCCCTCCGCACATGACAGCTTCCCATTGGTCTGTACAAAGCATCAGGACTATTCTTATCGTGAAGGGCACACGACTAAGGCTGTGTTTAGCTGTTTCAACCCGCCACGAACACAGATTGACCGGAGCGTTTGCTGATGCACTTCGCTTGACCCGGGTCGAAATCGGGAAATCACACTAGAGGATGTATGTATTTCGCGCCAGGGTTGCACAGCATTGCAAGTGCGAATTTCCCTCCAAAGAAAGTAGTCACGCAACCATACCGGTGGTCCAGAGAAACGGACTTCACCAGCACATCAGTAATCGACCCAGGTCTAGCCTCTTCAAAACACAAACCTATTTTTCTCCACTGTACAGACTTTCAAACCGGGTTGAACATTCTAATGTAAACACAGCCTATGTGTGATATTCCCGTTTACGTAGGACGCAAGCGCGCCACTCTACCTTCAGTTCAGCCAACGAGAATGGACACAATCTACACCACAACAACTGCTATCCGAACTTACAATGGATTGGATGAGAGATCTAGCACTTTGTGCGACTGCTGGAAGATCTTCTTGAAGAACGTCAGACGCTCGCCCTCGAATTCTTGGCACTTTTCAAACTCACGGCGCATGTCGGTTTTGTAGGTTTCGTTGTATAGCGTGATGTCTTGCACTCTGTCCTGGTACTTATCGTGGGCCTTCTGCCGATCTTTTCCCAACTGCCAAGGACGATGTGTCCCGGCGAAAGAAGAGAAAGGAGACAAAATGAGACAAAAAAAGAGAAGAAGATGGAACCAACAAACCAATGAGCAATGTTATGTAGAAAGGGTAGTTGTGCCAGGGCAGTGCAATGATCACACAGAGAAGCCTGCGTTGTAACGGACTCCACCCCAAGCGGAATCCTGGCATGACCGTATAAATGTTCATGCTAGATGCGCAGTGAAATTCCTGGGTTACATCCTAGTTGATGCAGATACGCGACGGAAACAGCACGGTACATACAGCAGAGATTCCGCCGTGGCAGCAATCCGTTCGAGCGGCACAGTACGGTTTCCATGAATATGAACATGCACAGTAAACCAACCAGGGAATATTTCGCACGTTTCATCTCGAACCCACTTATATGCACAGATGCCTGTATGTGCTAGATGTTTGGTACATACTGGGCCAGTGCGAGTATTAATTTCAAGCACAGACCGGGCGTACAAAATACACGTACAGACAGTACAGGATATACGCACACTGGGATCACCCCCACACACCCACAGAGCAGAATGTTCTATGGCGATCTGCTTCGCATGCACTTGCTGGCGTATTGCATCATCTCACCTTCTCCGCTTTCGACCTGAGCTTCTTGCATTGGTCGGTGGTAACGTTCGGATCTCGCTCGGCATCGGCCACTGTTCGATTTTGTACCTCAGCTGTTCTACACGCCGCGTGGTAGCTTTTCTTGGCACGCTGAACCTGTGAAACACATGCAACAGCAGCATCGACAGGGTCAATATCAACAGCAATATCAAACTAGCAGCAAAAATACTGATACACTACATGTAATACTGCAACAGAAAATGTCCTGCTCTATGCTCGAGCAAGAAATCTCGTGCAATGCGCACTGGGAGAGTCCCATTCCAAATTTGGCAGCTTCCTGACGATCTGCGCCCTAATTCAATGATAATTGATATGCAGCAGATCCACACACATGTTATCTGCGCACGCCACAACGAAGAGATCCTTTTCCCACGTGTAGAAGTCTTGAAACAAAACACACGAAGCCGTAGACTCAAACCCAGGTACATTTTCTTTGTGTGATTTATCTACGTTTCACGTGAAGCAGAACCTCTCTAAAGCGAATTGCCATCTTACTACCCCAACGATACACGTGTGTGCATAAACGTACGCAGACAAAAAAACACACACAAGCCAGCTGGATGTTTGGAGGATGACGCGCCTATTCAGATCACAAGGGGGGGGGGGGGGGGGAAGAGCAGACGGACGAACTTGAGGTCGTTATTTTAGGTAGGTGACCCACGGTTGAATGTACTCCTGACGTGACTCACAATACTGCACTAACCAGGATGGCTCAACGAAGAAATTTCACCGAGCGCTGGCAAGTGTCATTTTTTGAAAATATCAAACACATTACATTGACACAACGGTAAACACCCGAGGGTATGCACGGCAGTTGGCCTCTACGTAATACATGTATTACTACACGACCAAGCTGCTTGACAGATGTTTGCCAGCAACGTGACATCCACAGGTCCTAACAAGGTCAAGCTCCGCTCGCTGGCATGCCACACACACATATGGTGCAGCTGAGTGATACCGTAAAGCATTTCCAAATGTGATTTTTCCCACATCTGTTGAAAAGACTAAGGTTTCTGCTAGAGGATAAGCATTGACATGGTTCAGACAACAGCCCAGGTCACTATACGCAGCAGGGACGTTTCAGTGCTTATCTAACATCAACAGCTACCTGCATACAGTCCTACAGCGGTTAACTGGACATCTTTGGACGAGCTGTTTCGAAGGTGCATTCTGATAATGCGAATCACCCATACATCCACATAGGAATGCCCAAATATGTCTATATCGCTGTGTCGCTTGCTCGCAAGACTGCCACCATACAAAGTCACACAGTAACCGAGACACGCTCAAAAAAGGTAACCAAAAATTCGCAACACGACATGCGAAAAATTGCACTGTGCGTCCTTTTTGTGGGTTCAGATAATCGAGGTATTCGGATAATCGGGGGTTTGGACACTAGCGCTCGGAATAGGACTGCAGCATGCGACTACAGTGCTGGTCGATGAAACCCGATCGTGTGACTCAAGTTGTGCAGTGCACAGCCCAGTGTTGGCCAGACACAGGTTTGGGGCTGCAAAGAGGCCGGTGTGACATTGACTGACATGACCGGATTTCACTGAGCAGCAGCACTGTAGACGGTGCACAGCTCAATCTGGCAGCAACATAAACCCACTCTCATTGACATACATGGACGTCCGTGACATCGAAGGAGTTGCAGATCATCATCATCCATTCGCAAATCTACAGGTAGCATCTACCAGTACTATTATGGCACACCCCGGTGTAAACCTGCACTGGGCCCATGACCTACGGTAACAGCTTACAACTCTGAGGCTGTGGATCATCGCATCTATATGCCTGTGGCCGTGAAGACTTAAATCAGTGCAAGCACCAATTACCTGGTCTAGCACATTAGGGCTCACAGCTGGCACACATAATGCACAGGCGTACAAGACTGGTACAGCTGCATCAAGAAAGCTGGGGTTAAGTTTCTCTAAGTCTGCTCTGAACAAAGTACGTACACAAGCTATGCCGAAGGACAGGCGTTCTTCGGAGTACGCACGCTCAAAACACCCACTGACAGTACACGAAACGCCGGTGAAGAAATCTGTTTTCTTTCTGTTCTCACATTTCGCTGAGCTTGAATAAAGATATTGTGTCCGGTAAAGAATCTTTCGCTCGAACCAATTGATTGCGGTTACCAAACCAATGAGTAAAGAATTTTGCTACAGATTCACATGGTTTTCGCTCGTTGTTTAACTCACTATAGTATCCTGCTAAGACAAACAATTACATGACAGTACTATTATTTTTCATTACATGACACTTCTGCATTATATCGGCTACACAGTGCACATCGCCCTGCGGCCACTCAGCAACGTTTGGGCAGAGGGAAGGTCATTCCAACCATCCAGTTTGTGTTAGCTACATGTATACAGTAGCATACTACAGGGCAGAGATTGCAGTGCTTCTTCTGTTATAGTTCCAGAGGTTTGTTGGTGTTGCGTTGTGCAACCCACTTCTCACTACATCCAATACGAATACTAGTGCCATGAATACCAGTCAGGTCAGGTCAGGACACGCACTCTAAGAATAGAACAGACTGGCCCTGGGAGTGACAAAATGCATGCACAGCCTGCGTACTGTCTGCAACCTGTTCACTGAGAATCTGCCCAACAATGTTGGCAACATGTTCATATTTTACCACGGCGTTCGAGAATGCCCAGACGCAAACATACGCACATCATGTAAACGTCGTTTGAAGACAACAAGAATGCGAGCAGATAATTACAAGCGTATGTTCATGTACGTAGACACTCACGAAGCACACACAAGTTGAAAGCAATAATCCCTACAGACGCTGAGCACGAGAGCACATACACGCATCATCACAAGGTAATAGATCATCATACCTTCCCTAGCCGCTTTGCCCACGGCTTCTGAGCTCGTTCGAATCCATCCTCGGCTGTTTTCGTTTCCCTCCAGCTCAGCATGCTTTTGTGGTAGTGGTCTTTTTTCCATTGCACTATTTGAGGCAAAATCTCGGTGGTGATCTTCTCTCTATGCTCAGCATGAATATCACCCAGGCGCTCCGCCGAATTCAAACTAGCTTGCCAAGCAACTTCTGTCGTGCCGTAGTCAGGGCCTTTCTCCACCAACTCATCCCATCTCTTCTTCCAGACTTTCAAGGATTTGGCGTACTTCAGTTCCATCTCTGCACGCTCCATCAGCAACCGATGGAGATCATCACACAACTTTGCACCATTGTCCATACGCTCCAGGACCTTCCTGTAATTGCCAACATCCCAGAAACTGTTGGTGGAGGCCGAAACCTCCTCATCACCACCGTCAGCCATTTGCAAGTTTGTAAACTACTACTACTACTATTACTGGTACAAGTATTTAGCCCGGTGATAGGACAAAAATAATCGGCGACTGGGGCGAGAGCAAGTGACTTGGAACAGAAATTGTCAAGTCAATGACTGCATACAACAAACGGAAAAACAGGCCGTATGCAGGAGACCACCTGGATACTTCTTGCCAACTTTACATATACCGAGCTGGAGGTATCCGGACGAAGATATTCACTTCACTGTTGACACTACAGAAACTCCAAATCACGTCAGTAAAGTGGCGTGGAGCGTGAACACACACAGTCATTGGACACCAAAACAGCAAAAGACTGCTCAAATCAGAGCAGAAATGAGTGATGCCGCTTTGCATACATGTACAACTCGACTTGTCTCGAGCTGAGCTCAGCTCAACTACAAAGTCATTACCAGTGCAGACCAGTGCAGTGCAGTCCTATCCATATCCATGATCCATACCACTCACCATACCAGTCCAGAAGCTGATCCGCGCTGCTGTTGCTGCCCGTGCAGGGTTTTCCCGGCTCCCGCCCACTCCCGGGATCTAGGCTATGCAGTATGCATGCATGACTCGACTGTACACATGTACACACATGTGTAGCTAGCGTGCGTGTGCGGAGAATATTCTTTTTCAAAATAATGATTTTTTCATGTCGATATCTCGATATCGTGCACGTTTTTCAACTTTTTGGTCTTTTCATGTTTTCTCTTTCTTTTTGCTTCAGCCGCGGCCATCATAGTTGCCTGTGCGCAAGCGCAACGTCCTTTCCTTCGTCGTTGTCTCTGCGACCGACTGCAAGTGAGTTTCTCTGTGATTCAAACCCTTTCCTGAATGCTCAAGACTTAGTTTATGGATACTTCAGACCTGGAAGACGTGGATTAGACATAGTTTCGTGTTTTTGGCTTGGATTGTGTGACAGAAATGCTCATCCCGAAGAAGAACCGTGTTGCTATCTATGAGCACCTCTTCCGTGAGGGAGTTATGGTGGCTCATAAGGATTTCAATGCGCCTAAGCATCCAGAGTTGGAGGCCCTTCCCAACCTGCAAGTCATCAAGGCCATGCAGGTACTACCGCGGTGAAATAACTTTGTCAGCTTTGGACCATTACATGAGGGATAAAATTTGTTCCGAAAGATTCAAAAATATTTGCAAAGAATTGGTAAAATAGTTTACATGATTGTCCAACACCACTAGTTGACATGTCCAATGCCACTAAAGTGGTTGTCTTCATCAGTGTAGCCAATCACTAATACCTATAATGCTGAGGCTCCGAATGCAACTCGATCTAGAGTACACGTATTGAACTTTTTGTACTAATTGTATTACTAGTATTGACTAAAATTGTTGTGAAATTATATTATATTATTGACATGCAGCACCTGTAAAGCATGTGTGACCACCTTAACAATCACAACAACTGCTTGCAGACGATCCCCCGGCTCGTAGTGTTCCGTTCACGGCTGTTCGTCACACCATCGTTTGTGTTTTGTCGTACGTTGTGTTTGTGCTAATTCCACTCAGTCCCTCAAGTCCCGAGGATATGTCAATGAGACTTACAACTGGCGACACTACTATTGGTACTTGAACAACGAAGGTGAGTGCACAGCATGTCTGTTGTTGATTAGGTGTGCTGTGAGTACAAGCACAGGTGGCTCCTAATAATCATGTTTGAAAATTTTGCCATGGGACGGTTTTCTCACAGATGCACACTCTGTTTATGTACTCTTACTAAGAGAGTCCACTCTTCTACAAACACGAATCCTACGACGTCGCAAATATGAATTTGCGCGTCATAGTTAATCACAAGCCACACGTCTGGTCACAGAAAGTTCCGGAGAATCATTACGCTTGATATGCACAAGGCTACTATCCACATGCACTTGAAAAAAAAACATCACAAACTGACCAAATCCAGAATCTCAAAATCACTCCAAGAATGGATGGGCCATGTAGAAATTGAAGAAGGGGAAATATCTTCGATAACAGTGCACATGCGCGCCCAAGTACAGTAGAGTCGCGCGCTGAAGAACGTCTAGCCTGAAATACTAAGAACGTCACAGCCTAAAGCTAAGAGCGTCAGTGTTTTTTTCTTGCATCTTGTGGGATACAGATGATCCAGTACGGACTATTTCTAAGAACGTGCTATAAGAACGCAGCCAGATTGCTGAAAAATAAGAACGTCCCAGGCTAACCCTTTAGAAACAACGTTCTTGGGCGCGCGACTCTACTGTATGTCGTTCCCAAGATGCCCGGCTGCAGCATTAATGTTTCAGCCATCTGGCTGCGTTCTTTTTGCATGTTCTTAGAGACAAATTGTGCTTGATCGCATGTTTCACAAAAAACTGCCATAAAACCGACACCGCCATCCTTAGTATTTCAGGTTAAAGTCTTCTTGACTCCCGGCTCTACTGTACACGGCTAGCTCACTAACCCGCACCAAGTTTGGGGACACCCAATTCTGTCAAGTGCGATTTAAGTAGATGCCCAAACTTTGAAGGGGTGTATTAATTTTACACACAAGCTATGTATGTGCACACTTGCATTAGGTTTTCCAGCCGTTCCTACATCGTATTCCCTGCATTGGAACACCATTTTTTCCATTCTTCTAGCTCCCGAATAGGATCCTGCCATGTACATGTACAGTCAACTTCGCTTATAACGACACTCGATGGGCATCAGAAAAGTGTCCTTATTCGCGAAGTCTCATTATACATATTACAGTTGGACGGGACTTTGCTCTGGGCATGGAAATGCTGTCGTTATTTGCGAATTGGCGTTGTTAGACTGTATGCGTTTCCGAAGTCAATGCTTGATATCAAATACCTGATTTGTACCTCAGAGATTTATGCGCACAGAGATTGATGCGTGTTATTGAGTGTAGACATGGAAGCCAAAGTCGTCCCCCTTTTCAGCTTACCTTATGAGCATGTCAACTGTTGGAGATGCTCTGCTTGACGAGCCTCTTTTGTTTTGTCGCTAAATGTTCATGCTACAGGTATCAACTATCTCCGTGAGTATCTTCACTTGCCAGTTGAGATCGTTCCCACCACTCTTCGTCGCGCTGCACGCCCAGAGGGTCAGCGACCCCGCCCCAAGGGTGAGTTATCTCTTAAGTTGTATTTAGGCTGTATTCGGTTGTCAGTCAGGATCCGGAACCCCGTCGACCCGATCACTTGGATCCGACAGATACAATCGAATGTGAACAACTGGTGCCTGTTCCAACCGCGTTGCTGCAGCTCATCCTGTGCTATTTTGTATTGTCTGTGTGCATTCTAGTGAACTAGTGTACGTATATTATGAGTTTGAGTACATGCATGTAGTGTGCGAATAAATTCGTCTAAAGCTGAGTTCACAACTGGCGCGTGGGCGCGGTACGCTTGCGGTTCATGCATCCCCAAACGCGCGCTCAGCCTTTCACAAAAAACAGCAATCCGAGCCGTATTTAGCGCGTGCGACACCTTCAAGTACTAATTTTTTGACCCCGCCAGTCAAAGTGACTGGCATGTACGCTGATACGCGCCTGATACGCGCTGAAAATTCCAACATGTTGGAAGTTCCATTTCGGCGCGTTCCGTACGCATGGCGCCCCAAAAGCCAGCAAAAATACGCACAAACGCGTGGTTTCACGCGTACACGCGCCAGTTGTGAACACAGCTTTATCCTGCTCGTTGGCTGGGTCCGGACTCTTACAATCAAACATGTACGAATGTGGCGTATCCGGGGCCTGTGGATTTGCACAGTTGAACATGCCCTTTTCTCTCCTTGCTGTCTATCCCAAACATCTACCATGTGATTGACTAAGGGCGCGTTCGAAGTGTCCCATTAAAACGGTTTCTATCATTTTTAGAGTTTTTCACTGGAATTGTCATGGCGATGATGACGTCCGATCAGATCGACCATCTCCACGTACTACGTGACGTAGCTATTCCAAACTCTTCGAAACTAATCCACCTTGGCCCATTGGATGAGGTTGTGGAGTTTCGAGGAGCTTCGATGAGCTTCGTTTTTCTGAAGAGGCCAATAAGGAAAAACGAAACTCCTCGAAAAATCAAAGGGTGGCAATTCGAAAACGCCCTAAGTAATTCCAAACTCTTGACGTGCATCCCTTGTCTGTAGACGGCCCTTTTCAAAAATTCTCTGCTGATACTTTGATTGCTCTGGTGATGCTGCCCCTATCCGTGCAAATTTTCCACTCGATTCAGTGTGCATTGTCCTGTTTTCTGGCTTCGCGCTTCAAGTATGGCTATATGACAATTTTATTCCGTATCACCCATTTTGAAATGGCTATGCTTGTATATATTTACCGTGTGTGCATATATAGGCTTCGGTGGTGCACCATCTGGTCGCCCTGAGGATGACCGCTCCACGTACCGTCGTGCTGATGGATTCGGTGGTGCCGAAGGCAAGCCTGCTGGTGCTGGATCTGACTTCAGACCAGAGTTCGTAAGTTCTCAATTGATCTTTACTCTGTTAGGATTGCAGTGTCGTGAAAGAAGCTCTTTCCTCTCCGAAACTGATTTTAACCATTGTGTTTTGTTATTGACCACACCCAATGATGATGCAACTGATCGTTATTGGGCTTATTTCACGTACGTCTTTCCTGTTTGTTGTAAAATTCGAACCGTCTGCATTTGTTGGCCCATTTGTTCATGATGTTGTCTAATGTTTTCTTTCATTGCGCCAAAACTCATTCCGAGTTTACTTATTTACTTGATTTTGTTACAATGCAGTCTGTTGACACCCTTTCTTTGCTTTTGTCTCTTTGTATGCAGCGTGGAGGTTTCGGTCGTGGTGCACCCCGTGGCGGTGGACGTGGTGGTTTCGGTGGAGCGCAGTAATGTCACTTTTACCAACTCATTTTCTGTACCAATAGTAAAGGAAAAAATGCTTTTCGGTGTCTTAGTAAGGAGTATGTGTGAGCATGGTGTGTCTGGACAAAAGATGTGGTGCCAATAGACATCATTTGGTACAGGACTGGAATATGGGATGGGGGAGTTTTCCCACTCTACACTGTCGTCACAAACTGAATTGGAGTGCAGCCGATCCCCTGGCTCGTAGTGTGTCCAGACCAATTTACTCAAACAGATCCCAAAGTAGCGTTTCTGGTGCTTTCTGAATAGTAATTTTACAAATTTACCCACAGAAAGTTAGATTTGTCGGGCAAAGTGTGGAATCCGCCGATGACGGCGATTTCTGCGAAAATTGCTGCGGCTGCAGAATCGCTTTTGTCCAGAGGGTCAGTAGTGTTACTCCTGACAGGTCTTGTTTTGTTCCGAAAGATAACGAGAACTCGTGAGAGTAGAAGCAAGTGTATGAAAAAGGTTCCGCTAAACTGTGCTATTTCATACAGTTGTTGACAAGGGGTTTACTGTAGTACCGTAAAATCTCGGCAGACCGCCCCGTCTCTGCCATCCGCCCCTCCCTGACTTCTTGTCAGGGAAGATTGATTGTATCCTCGTATGACTGTGGTGCCGTACTGTACGGCAGACGTTTGCTCGATTCGGTTGGAAATGTACGCAACAGTCCCCACCCTCTTGACCAGGGATCGCACAAACCCTTAGTTTTGACGGGTCTGTAAGACTCCTAGCTCTTGACCTTTGGTCGGTGTACGAGATGCACGAACAGTTTTCGTAGGGCGAGTACTTTTTTATCTAGTACTGAATGCGGTAAGTAAAACTCGCTCATCCGCCCCTCCCCAACGAAGCGTCGAGGAGGTAGGGGCGCTCTGGCGGGATTTTACGGTAATTTCATTTCTGAGGCCCATCGCTTTACCCCCCCCCCCCCCCCCCCTGTTATGCTACCCAGTCAATATCGCACAAGTGGAGAACCCCTGGATAAAGGTGCGGACATACGGTACAAGCAAGAGTACATAACCCGACAAGTAGGGAGAAGATGCTGGTGCAAGGTGTCAACTCTACCAGACACAACTATCACAAGTGCTAGGTCAATCACAAAACGGGAGTTTTAGTTGGGCCTCGTCCTGACGGGTGTTGTTTCCAAGGCAAGGGGTTAGCTTTAGACATTCTTATTTTTCAATCTTGCTGCACTCTTATCTGTCCCCTTGCATAGAAAACGGGATGCCGCATCAATTTTCGCAGAAATTTCCATCATCTGCGGAAATCACGGAATCTAAACTTTTGCTTGCGGAATCTGAATTTTGCGGGTAAATTTTAAAATTACTACTCGGAAAGCCAGGAAGGCTACTTAGTCTTTGCGATCTGTTGAAGCACATTGATCTTGCCAGTGTAGGTGAGTGCAGGTCTCTCCTTCACTCCCATTCAGTGTGTGACTGCAAAGCGGGTCAGTGTGAAAAGTACTCCTTTGTGCAATGAGTTATCATTATCCTCTACAAGGAGGGTGAGAAACAGGGAGTAGTATAATACTACTCCCTGGTGAGAAACTTACAGAAAGTGCAACTGATTTTTGATAAGTTTCTGCAAGTTTTTGTATAGTTTGTAGCTTGTGGCGTAGTAAAATGTTCGTGGTCCCCCTGCGCTGGTCCAGGGAGCCCTATACATACGGTATGTGTAAGGCTCCCTGCGACTGGTCAAGAATGGTTACAGTACGTCATTGTCACTTGTGTCACAATGTTTTGCACATGAGTCGTATGCTGCCACAATGTTTGCCTTTTTTTGGTTCTCAGTTTTGCCTCGTAGTGTCTGGTCATCTTGTTTGTCCGTCTCTGTCTTGACACGGAATTATACTGGAGTAGATTAATGTCGACAATTACATTGTTGTGTGTGGCGAGCCTGATGTCGGAGTGGGGAGGCTGGACCCCTGACGCCCGTTTAGCAAATGTGCGGGTGCACGAAAGCTTGCGTGGTTCGTGTGTGTGTGTGTGTGTGTGTGTGTGTGTGTGTGTGTGTGTGTGTGTGTGTGTGTGTGTGTGCGTGTGTGTGTGTCTATGAGGCAGGGGTGGCAGATATATACAAGTCGCATGCTTACATACATACATACAGAGGTGGATATTATTATTATGCTCATTCAGGACTGCCGGAAGCCTCAGGTTTTGATTGGTCCAGCCATACCATAACCCCATGGACTCTTGATAGTCTAATTCTAGCCTGTTATACTTTGTGTATGATTATCGTGGTTGCAAATCATACCTCCTCAGTAGTAACAAGAGTACTCTTGGTAGTAACTATGCGTTGGTTGCCAACACGTTGGTCCGGTAATCACCTGACCAAACCGTTCAGGCGGTCCCGGTCATGTATGTTTTGGGGTCGGGGACATGCGCGTCCTATACAGTCTAGCCCGGGCCTTGGCAGGGGCGGATCCAGGAGGGATTCCACCCTAATTTTCGTAAATGTACTACTGCCAGTACTGGCAACCATATGCGTGTCCATGTACATGTATCAGCAAGAGTTCATAACCCCCGGGTTATGAACTCTTGGTATCAGCTATTCAGTTTTGACTGTATGCTGGAACCCCCTGTAGAGATTGCTGGATCCGCCGCTGCTTGGCGGATAGTAGTGCTCGAAAAATTGGCAGATTCTGCTCGAAAAGCAGTGACTCTTGGCAGAACCATACACTCCTAGATCCTTATGCCGTTATGGCAGGCACTTCCTTGAGTTCTCAGTGCTCCATTTTTTTAAATCCACATACCAAAGCTGCATGGAACATATCAGAAAAAGTACCAAAATTAATCAGTCTGCCTATCTTTCTTACTTGGCCCGCCTAGCGCCTGCATGCAGTGCGCAGGCTGGGGATCACGGCGAAGTGTCTCACTCGCCTGGTTACCATGGTGCGAAAAACGAGGCTCCGCCAAAAAAATCACATTACGTCATTCAAGCGATCCTCATAAATTTAGGGTTCACGGCTTGCCACTAAAAGCACCCGTCACGTGCGCCTCCATTTTGGATTATGGACGCGCGCTACAGGCCGCGACAGCGCCTATCGAAGTAAAAAAATATCGACTCGAAGTCTAGCCGGAGAGCGTACTTTTTGAATTTTTCCTTGGCTTCAGTGGCTTCACTTCACTCGGGCTTTGCATTTTTCTGACTGACCTGGACTTGATGATGGCGGCGGTGGCGGTCTTGGCGAAAGATCCAGTTCCATCTGAGACACTCTGTCGTCTTTTCTTATCTGCTGAGGTTCTGGCAGAGCGCAGCTGCATCGAACCTGACTAGATGTAGCTGCACGCATCCTTTGTTTGCCCTGCAAATCTCGATCTGTTGCTCTTCTTGCTGTTTGGCCGCTGATGCCATGGAAGAAAATATTCTTCCTGTAAAGAGGCCGAAACTGAGCTAGGGCACGTCAAGATATGTAGGGTATACAAAGAAAAAGAAATGTCATGGTCGTTTCA